CCTCGTTTAATTACTTCGTTCGAATTTGAATATAGAAAAAAATAGATAAAAATTATGTTAAGTGATATTAAAATAATTTGCACATTATTGACCTCATTTATTGTGACCAACAATTAACTTTAATAATAAAAAATTAACCAAACTTCACTTTTTATTGAATTCGTTAATTGATTTTTAACCAAATTCAGTGCAATATTTGTTGTATCGTCAACGAAATATTTTTATGTAAATTTTTGTAATAATACCAACAATAAAAATAAGCCCAGGCCGAACCTACCACAATCACATGTTGAACGAGCGGAATTTCTAACAAATCGCTAACAACTATCCAAACACAAGACATCTCAGATATTTACGGACAAGACGTCTTCGAATTCAATGGCTGGTCGATTGTTTGTTTGGGTTTGTTTCTTGTTTGGATTTGTCGTCATACACACACAACACTTTCACTCTCTCTTGGCATGGCAGTGAGTGGGGGTAAAGTGTAAATAGATATTTGTTATTAGAGATTTTTGGTATTAAAACATTAAATCGTACGTTTCTTTAATATTAATCTCGCTTACTCGTTGGATAAAATTCACACTCTTCCATGCTATTCGGTACACTTGTTCCGTTCCATTCCAGTATATTACTAACATATAGCATACGATTTCCTTATATTTTTAAAAAATTACTTTTATTACAACATTTTTATTGTTAGATTTCAAATTTTTTATAATTTTTTAATTTAATTATATTTTGTATTACATATGTTTTTTATTTGTCTGTTAGTATCAAAAATTACTTGACTTGACTTGACTTGCCGCTCGACATGACATTTGACACAATGTAACTTGTTGCGAAGAATTGTGTACTACGAGTATCTTTGGAGAGAAAACCTGAAATTAGTAATAAAACAAAAAATAAATTAAAAAATAATAAAATTTAACTAATTTTAAACTATTTTAAAACGAATTAATTTGTTGCTATAATATTATAAAATTAATTAACACAATAAAACAATAATCATCGTAATACTATTAAACTTTAATCACTACAGACTACTTACTTTGGATTTGAGTATTTAAATTTAAAGCTGTGATTTCCCATTAACCTTTTTGTGCTTCTGTTTATCTCATTTTTATTAAAATATATATTTTTTAATACATTTCATTCAAGATTTTCGCAATTTCACTTGATTTTAAACACTACATGAGTCACTAATATCGAACTATTGATCGATTGAAATACCGCCAGTAAAGTCTTTACACGAATCAAATTTTTTTTTAAACAATTTCTTTTATTATATATATTATTATTCTTTTATTATATTGAAAATATATACAATGAAATTTTTATTATAAACAATATATCAGAAATTAATAAAAAATCTTGATTTTATATAAAAAAAAATTGTTAAATATGAACTAAATATAAATGAATGCAAAATAAAAAAATTTATTTATTATTTAATTTAATAAACTATATAAAATATTTTATATTGTTTATTTTTGCGTTTAATAATTTTTCCATCGTTACTATTACTAATTAGTAAAAATGCTTTAGACGACGTTTTCTATAAGAAGTACAAATACTTCTTCTTATTTGCCATTATTTCAACGTAGAAGAAATATAAATCCTTTCGCTATAAAATTTTTATATTATTTATTATTATAAACATATATTATATGTATTACGCATTATATATATTATAAAATACATCGCACACATTTTTTTTTCGTTGCTGTCACTACTACAGTTGTAGTTTTTATTGGTGATACAGTGTATCTGTGATATCCGCAAGTATCAATATAATAAAGTCCCATATTAGATGACAAAAAAATTAAACAATTTTGATGTTATTGTTGTTGCTGGTGTTATCTCTGTAGACCAGAATAAGTTTATATCAAGCTTATATAGCTTTTTATATTATTATTATAAAAGCTTATTATCTATCCTATAACCAACTATAAAACTTTGATGGAAGTTATTAGCAGCATTTCGTTGTCAAAGGCGACTGATAAGAGAACATAGATCCCACAACCACTGGAACCTATTACTGTTGTAATGTAAACATACATGCTCAACTAAGGCTGTTCGCATATAATAAATACACTGCAAAATAAAGTTATCATTTTAATATAAGAAAAAGTAAAAAAATTGCAATAAGATCCATATTATACTAAGAAATGAATACAATAGTTTTAGGATCTGTCTGATCATGACTATGGAGTATATCATTTTGTTTCTCAGAAATGTTTTTATTTTATTTAGACTTGAAGTCAATACCTGATCGATTACTATAATATTTAATGAAAGAAATTATTTCTCTATATTTTTGTTCTTAGTTGCCTGCTCTATATTTTTGTTCTTATTTGCTGCTCTATATTTTTGTTCTTATTTCTCTTCTTAAATTGTCATTCTTCATAACTTTTTATTATAACTTTCACATTCATTTTTCCTTCCATATTTTTCTATTACTCCGTTTCCCCTTCTTATCAGTTCCTAGTGTATAAAAACCCAAAAATGTTGAGATATTAATTGTCTTTGAAACTGAAAGATTATAACTTTCACATTCATTTTTCCTTCCATGTTTTTCTATTACTTCGTTTCCCCTTCTTTATATGTTTTTATCAGTTCCTAGTGTATAGAAACCCAAAAATGTTGAGATATTAATTGTCTTTAGAACTGCAAGATAAATGTTATATATAATTATATCAGTAAGGTTTCGTAATGGAAGTCTAACAATTTTCCAAATTATTTAGGGAATAAATTTTCCTTTTCCTTACCTTCCGTCTGCCCTTTCACTATTCCTCTCTTTTTTTGTATTCCATATTTTTTTACAGAAAAAATCTCTCTATATTACTTTGCTATATTTTTCAAAATTTAATGTTATCTATATATTAAATTTTATTAATATATATTATTATTTATTTTATTAAATATTAAAAATTAAAAAAATTTAATTTTCATTACCTATTATTTTTAATTTCGCAATTCGAGATTTCGCTGCTTTTTGAGGCACCTCTAATTTAATAATAATATCTTTCATTAATTATCTATTGAAAAAAATATTCGACACTAATTTTTTAAACTCGACACTTTTTAAAATTTCTTGAACAAATTTCCGACATCTTCACTACTTTATAAACGGCTGGAAACTGAATCTTCATCGAATCAGCTAGATAGCACTATAACTATAACTACGGCACACAGAAACTTGGCTCAAATCTGACAAAGATCTGATCAGAGAACAAGCTTTAAAAAAAACCTTAGAATTGTTTGATAGTTCTGTCTCAGAAATAGGATTTCTAGTACTTCTACAATTTCCCAAAATGTCTACTTGAGAATCTAAATAGATTATAACTCTGTCTGATATCGCTAAGCACCAACATATCAATATATGACTTACAACCAGTCAAATTTGTCTAATCTATTCAACCAATAAGTTTGTTGAAAATTGACATTATTTTTAAAACTCTTCAAATAAATAATAAACTATTCGTAATATCAGCATTACTGCTGCTGTTAGAGTAGGGACTAGAGGATCCCCATAGTTAACTAGAGTGAAAATGTATGCTTTTTCAAATAGGTAGATTTCGTGCGATTGTCAGAAAACCTCTATTTAGATTGCATTGAACGCAATGAGGCTGGTATTTTGTAGTAAGAGATATTGTTAGATTTAGCAAGTGCCTTGAATTGCATAGGTAAGCTTATAAGAATATCGCCAGTGACAGCATAATAGATCTCATAGTTCGCATTTTACTATTACGCTATCTAATAATGAAGTTTTTCGAACTAAAGCAACAAAAATTCTTTTTTATATTATATTAATTAATTTTAATTAATGTTATAATAGTTTTTGGCTGACCACACAGCTATTTTGAGTATTGCCAAATGCCTATCGTCAGTAGTCTTGGTCTATCTAATAATAAAATTACATGGTATGAGTTGAAAAAAATTTTAAAAAATATTTCAAGAGTTTATTTTTAGTGAGATCTATACCTAAAGCAAGTATATATATATTATGTATATTTGAAAATTATTTTTAATATCGATTAAGAGTGACTTAAAGCAAAATACTTAAAGCAAATTATCCGATGAAAAAAAATTCTCTAACTCCATAAAAAATTACAAAATTTTTAAATGAGATTACTTAATAAAATATCGTTTATATAAAAGAATAAAAATATCGTAGCTAAATGTAGATAAAGCTGAGAAACCATCGAAATTCTTTCACAAGAGTTCGTCATAGTAATTACGACAACGTAAATTTCCTAAATGAAATGAAGCAAATTAATCGACCATAAAATGTATGTCGTTAGATGCAATACAAAAATTACAGATAAATGTTAACATGAAATATAAAATATAAGCTTATATTTAAAAAATTCACCTGACAGATTAAAAATGCAATAAAAAAAATAAATTATATGTTTAAATTTTAAATAAATCATTTTTTTTGGTATCTAAACTGACAACGCAATCCAGCTGCGTACATAGCAAAACTTCAACTGGCAATTTGTGTGTAGAGAAATAAAAGGACATTAATTTATGTTTATTTTATTAAAATATTTAAAACTTATTGAAAAAATTTTGGAAATCAAGCAGCAGGAAAAAATGAAAGACAAGTTGGCAATAAATAGGTGCGTTGCTATCAAATGTTGTCGGATGACTACTGACAGTAAAAAGGCAGCGAACGGAGGTTGTTTATGTCTATCGAAAGTTAGACATTAAAAAAAAAAACTAAAAAAACTTAAAAACTTTAGTTAAAAACTTAAAAAAAAAATTGAGTTAATAAAAAACGGCTATGGTGTACAGGAGCGGTTGAGCAATTAAGTGAGCACAAAGTATGTGTAATGCGGACGCGCTAAATTAATTTCATTGCCTGTTGCTCGTGCAGCAAACAATGCAGTTGCGTTTCTGACTTACGTGACAACAGTTTTGACGGAAATTTTCATTACAAAATAAACAGTAATTATATTTAATTAAAAAATTTTTTATCATGTTTTTATTTTCAGCTCTTCTACATATTATTGCTGACGCTGCCTCTGCTTGCGTACAGTTTTCCTGCAGCTGAGGAAAAGTCAATATCGCTGGAAGAGGATGTGGATAACGAACATGCAGAGTCAGAACAAGATTCACAAATACAAAAACGTTCGGGTAATAGTTTTGATTATGTTACACAATTGAAATCAGGATTATTGTCCAGTATCGGACATGCATCCGCATCGATAGCGTCGGGCAGTTCAGGCGGTAGCAGCGGTGGTGGCGGTGGTGGCAGCTATAAATCAATAGATGGACATCACGTAACAAATATCTTAATGCGTTTATTATGTATACAATATATTTATATAATTTCCATAATAACTTTTAGGGAAATGCTGTTGATTATGATCCATGGTCTTTCAAAAAATCTGTATTAAATACAATTTTACAAGCAGTAAAAGCCATAACTGGCGGTGTGACCGCCTTGAAGGGTCAACTTATCAAAGGCAGTGGTTATGCGCTCAGTGCTAGCGGTAATATTGTTGCTGCTGGTGGTGAAAAAGTAACAGATGTGGGCAAATCTATTATCAATTCAGCACAAATAAATTCACATAGTTATGGCACTAGTCATAACACTGGATTTGTACATCCATTTGCCAAATTCAGTTCATTGTCAGGTGCGTCATCTGGTGGTAGCGGCAGTAAACACTCATCAAGTGGTCCAGTAGTGCATACAGAGAGTAAGTAATTTTATTGCTCTAATACCAGAGGAATTTAAAGGGAGTTAACTACTAATACTAATCAATACTAATAATTAAATTAAAAATGCAATTCTTGTCAAAAGTTTAAAAAAATAGTATTTTTAACAATGTATTAATAAATAAATTAATTTTATGAGTATCTTAGGAATGTAAAATAGCATTTATTAACTGTTAATAACAAATTACACAAAAAAGTAAACAATTTCATTTTACCTAAATAACATTAACAATAAAATCAATTGGACTTTAAGAACTTTATTTTTATTTGCTAAAATATAAAAAACAAAGTGTTTAATAATATGTTTAAGTTGATTATATAAATACTAAAAAGGATCGAATATACCTATTGATAGCACTCAACTTTTGTTCCATCCTTATTAGTTGCCTTGGAAGAAGAAGAAAAACTGCTACAGATTTAATTCATCACTGCTTAGTAGTTATCAGACGGCGATCGGAGAACTTTTTTTGAAGTTCTTTCCTGAATTTAATTGACTTACCGCTTTATTAAAACAATAATTTGAAACTAAAACTAGTACAAAATATTAACTTTAACAGTAACAACTAAACTTTACAAACAATCACTAAACTTGAAACCACTATGAAACCACTTTGTGACATTAGTAATACTCAAATTTTTTAACAGCTAAGTAAGCATCATCTTACAAGCTAGAGACTGCCACAGGCAACCATTAACTACCTTCTTCGGAAGTGTTTTTTCTTTTTCTTGGAGCAAAAGGAAAGTACATCTCCTCTTGTGGAGCAAAATTCATTGTCGACCTTGTGCCGCAATACTTTTCCCGTTTGACTAACCACATTAGTAAATACCCACCAATATGAATTAAGTATTCTAATGACATATAAAAATATTATTCTGCTAAATATCTTACATAGTTCATCTATCCTCCTCCTATATAACGGTCTTTGATTAAGAATGAGATCGTAAAGTAGAAAATATGTATATACTTGTATAATATTAATCGATTTTGTTCGTCCACCTTTCACATACGTTGTAAAAAAGTGATGTATAGCGGAAGATTTTTAAAGTGGACGTCTTTACAAACGAATATATCTCTTTAACTTGCTATTACACTTATTTCCAGTTATAATTTTAATTAAAGTTCTTTTAAATGGACAATTCTGTTAACCAGACAGAATACTGATTCCATTCACTGTCCGCTTGAGAAAGCTTTTACTGTATTTACTACTTTACAAAATTTTTAAAAGGCAATGAAATAAACGTGGAAAGTTGAATCAAGATTAGCATGTTATCTTTAGGGCTAAGTATATGTGATTTTAATACAATCTCTAAGAACCTCACAAAAGGAGTGCATTAGACAATGTACGTTTGTCTGTTAAGTTACAGACTAATATTTTACAATTCAGGGGATTAAACTTTGTTTAAAAAATTATTGTATGGATTCAGAAATAAATGGTAGACACTGTTTTTAGACATTTTAATATCATATATAAAAAAATATGTGATTATATATCGTCTCAATATATTTGATAAAATCTCTTCTGAAATTTTGACTTGTTATACTCTCCACTGTAGTTGTACTTCCTCTTTAATTGTTATAATTTTATACATTTTATAATTCCTAGCATTATATTGCTAATACTTTGTCTAGTTCCGATTATTATGTTATTAATAGATACTTAAAAATATGTTAATACAGAACAACCTTCTGTTTTTTTCCACGAATCCAGCTTCCAAACTTCATAATCTCCAATAAATTCAAATGTTACAATACTTCTTCAAAAAACAATAAAAAATGCCTTCCAAAATGCATTCAAAGTGATTAAAACCACAACGTGATATGCAAATAATTTTGTGTATTTCAATGTCAGCCCAAGAAATGAAGCAGATCGCCCTCAAATAGTTGTACAATACATTTTTTTTATCAGATCAATTCAACTTTTCACAATCCAAATACACAAAAACAAAAAATTATAAACTTACAAACAATTCGTTATGAAATATTTAACAAATCCAAATGAAATGCATAACGAACCCAATTTAACAGCAAATTAAATGAATTCACTCATCCTCGACGCCGGCGCAGTAGACAAACGTTTACTGAGCAGCCGCCACAAACTGCACCACAAAGACTTGACAACGCACCGCAAAACGGAAGAGTGATTTTACCGCCGTTCAATCAGTGTTAGCATATTGCCTTTACGGTTTAGTACATATACTATGTGCCCATTCGAATTAAGCGCAATCAATAGCAGATAAAGTGAACGACAGAAATCAGACCGCCTATTGGTACGTACTCGTACATTGACCTAAACCGCATCGTTTGGTACTTGCGGTTGTCATAATCGCGTATCTGCGTCCTCTGCAACAAAACTACTTTCATTTTCAAACGAAGAAAAACTAGTTTCCCAAGCCAAACGCAATGCTTACCTTAGACGAGTCTTTGGAAAAGCGCCTCAAATATTTTCGCGGCACTCACTATTTTTATTCGTTGCCTATCGCAAAAAAGGAGAAGACTTCCTTAACTTACCAGTTTTGTTGCACAGATATTTTTCGGTTACAACCAATTAATGTCACTAGACTGATCGGTCATAATTTATTTTTTACGAAACTACACTAAATGTGATAGTTGATCTCAACTGATCATAATAAATTTTTAAAGAGAATGTTGATAATGGATGCAGGAATGGACTCAAATGAAATATTTATTTATATCTTGTCTTGATTTTCATTTTTTATGACTTTTAGTTTGATGAATTATAGTAGATCATTACCAAAATGAACTTAGTCCATAACTGATGTACAAAATTATTAAATCTAATTGTATAATGAGTTATTTACAGTAGCTTCCTTTAATAGTCATTTTTAAGACTTTTTTAAATGAAAAAATATTACTAAAAAAGGAAAGTTAGTTAAAAGTGGTACAGATTATATTTAAAACCAAGGGCTCTTTAGATATTATTAGCATTAAGTCGATTCCAACAACGAACAACGAAAGTATTATGATCACTTTAAAGATATTTTATTAATTTAATCTACTAGGTTTTAATCACATATAGCTTTTCATATAATTAATTATAAACGCTAATTAACTTAACTATATTTGAATCAAAGACTATTGTTCTACCTTCTGCAATAAATTAATTTCACAAATTATTAGATATAATTAAATATAAACTGTATTCTCATATATTTGAATATATTCCAAATAGACAATTAACTAATTTTATCTGTTAGTTTGTAGACATCAAGATATTTTCTTACAATACTACCAAGGTTCTGAGTCTTATTCAATGAAGAAACCATGTACCTATGTTTAATTACACCAAAGACGTTCTTGTTCAAAGGGATTATAATATCGTTAAAAAGAAGAACACCATCGATATTCTTATTTTTACTGAAATTAGTTAGACTCACATTAATCTTACTTTAATATTCCAAAATTTCTTGATGGATACTTGAAAACTTCGCTGTCAAGTTCTCTTAGTTTTGTCCATACAAAAAAGGAATGTACATATGTAATCTAAAGCTATCATAATGAAACACAACACATATCCTTTTTATTGATCTCTTTTATTTCTTTATTACAAACACATTAATTACAAATTATGGCAATTCGAATCAATAACATATAATGGATGATACCCGTACCCGTCCTAGCAAACATTCAATATCAACTTGCTTGTCATCAATTCTCGATTTTCCATTTTGTTTTAATTCCTCCTTCTTCGACTAACATCGTCTTGACACAAAATTATTATATGTGATCCACTTTTCATCACCTGTTTCATCTGGTTCTGAAAGATCATTTCGTTTCATAGCAATATATCAAAGAAGTAAATTTGATTTATTTAATTTTTTTAATGAACTTAGAATATTGATCGAACCTGAAAATGATAAAAATTATTCAGTTTTAAGAAATATTAAAGAATGAAAATTAGGTTCATCGTATTTAATAGCACCCAAATATCAAGCTATTTCAGAGAAATGTTTTATCCTCTATTTTTTTTTCTTGTTATATTGATTTTACGACTCATCATGATTTTACGATTAAACGGCTATATTAGTTAACATAACAATTTTGGATTGAATTCTTGGAGCTATCCAATATCACACAAACTCTAAAAACCAGATGTCAGGAGCTACCTGCTCCTGACAGCTAAGTTATAAAATATATAATGCTTTTATTTGCTAATAAGAAATTCCTTCTATATATCCGCAAAGTATGAAAAAAAATATATATAATAATATAATATAATAATAATAATATAATAACATATAATATATAATATTATAAATAATATATCATTATTTCGATTAGAATTTTTTAAATCTATTGTTGTGGGACTATTTCGAAAACGACGTATAATATTAATATTATTATAAAGATTTTCTATAAAAGTATTTATAAATTCAATTTAATGCTATTATTCCGCATTATTTCATTTATTAACTTTTGATTTCTAATGTTTTCGTTTTTATAGTGTTGTAAGCTGTCACTTCAACTGTTCCTTTTGTCGCTTTTCCATTCGTAATATTGTTAATAAAGAACTTGGCTATAGTTTATTTTGTAATGTGTATATTTGAACTAAGTGAAGCACTGAGTACATAAGTGAGCTAACCCTACTCAGTTTTAAGATTTTTTCGATTCCGTTAGTTAATATATATACACTATTATATACTTTACTCCAAGTTTATATAGATTTGTATATAATTCAACAATAGTATAATCATTTCTAAAATAAAATACAGATTCAATACGTGAATTAATGCTTCATTTTAGTTTATATTTAAATTATTTGTCTGTCACTGCATCTCTGACAGTTGGACAAATTGAATCCAGATTTAACAATAGAAAATGCCATGAGGCATTTTTAGCATCTGAGTAATTAAATGTCTATTAATTTATTTATAATTAATTTTTCCATAGTAATTAATTAATACTAATGGCATTTTCGATTAGTAAATCTGGATTCAAACTAGTTTTAATCGCGATCTGTCAAATTTTAAAAATAATTCATTCCAATCGAACATTTTAAGAG